CATAGAAGGCTTTATTCAGCTTCAAGCTACTTCAAACAATGATGAACAATATTTACAAAAAAATGTGTTAAATTTACAAAGTGACCGTCAAACCGAAATAGTTTTTTTTAATACTTTAGCATTTCTTACAATAATAGGCAAATGCATTTTTAAACATTTAACAAACATTAACTTTTCTAAACCTTTAGATCTAAATCTTTGTATATGGAAATTTTCTTTTGATCTAATGTCGTGACCTTGCATTTCAAATCTTTTTTTAGGAACTGTTCAAGATAAAACAACTTTTTTGACAATACTATCTGAAAACTTTTCTACCAAACTCCTTCAGTCACATCTTCGACAGCTCATGCCATGTAAACAATAGTATTCTGTCGATATGTAAAAAAAAATTGAGATCGCTCACAAAATAAACGAGATAATATGGAAATAAGATGAAAAAATCTAAACGGAAAAGCAACAAACTCTTTTATCGCAAATTTGGCAACGCCGCGTTATGAGGCCACCACTGTAGTCTGGAGATCAGTTGGTTGGATTTAGGAGGAGCTATGGTTTGATGACTGAGCTGCCATCTAGCGGATTATAAGTAATTTTACGGCGTGGCATATTTCCTTAAATCGCAGCGTTGCCGCGGTGTGTGTTAAGACAAATAATATCAATTGGCTGCTAGTCGCTTCACCGGCTAGTATTGCATTTTTTTATAATTGTCGCAGCTAGTCGAACCAACTTACAAAAGAAATGTTTATCCTGAATACAAACATAGAGTAATGTAGCATTGGCACGCACTGACAAACGATTGGCCAAAACTAAAACAAAAATGTTGAGAAATCTCTGAATCATATCCAAAAGCAACCCTATCATCAAAAAATAAATATTATTGTACTTAGAATATAATAACTTGAAAATAACACAAAGACGGCAGGCAGGTGTTGGAATGAACCTTCCCTAAGCTGTTAATATCTCATTCTAATAAGGGTATTCAGCTTTTGTGATAGAGCCCATATTCGCCGTAAAAACTGCTTATGTTTTATTCCATTCCTTCGACTAATGTTACCGTACTATTTTCGCAAAAAGCTCCATCCTGGTTGTCGCGTTCTTTACGACACGACACAGCGAATTCTGTTTAGCTAGAATTAAGAACAGCTCGCTCTATAGTGTCACGACGCAGGATTAAAACGTAGTAAAAGTGATTTTACGACGTTTGCTGTAATGCCCAAGTTCTCAGTTTAGCAGGTTCTCCGATGATAGATTACGGTCTAAATGCAGATGCAGAAATGTGTTACAATGTATACAAAAACTAGAAAACGATTCGGAGCAGATAAGTAGCAGAAAATGGCTGCTAAGTCATTGAGTGCATTCAGGCTTCGATGATGATACATTTCTAATAACAAACAATAGACGTTCGAAGAGACAGCTGTATATTGTATATTTCCGTTGTCTACTTTTTCTTTCAAATTCAATTTAGAGAATTTAGAGAATTTAGAGAATTTAGAGAATTTAGAGAATTTAGAGAATTTAGAGAATTTAGAGAATTTAGAGAATTTAGAGAATTTAGAGAATTTAGAGAATTTAGAGAATTTAGAGAATTTAGAGAATTTAGAGAATTTAGAGAATTTAGAGAATTTAGAGAATTTAGAGAATTTAGAGAATTTAGAGAATTTAGAGAATTTAGAGAATTTAGAGAATTTAGAGAATTTAGAGAAATTAGAGAATTTAGAGAAATTAGAGAATTTAGAGAATTTAGAGAATTTAGAGAATTTAGAGTATTTAGAGAACTTAGAGAATTTAGAGAATTTAGAGAATTTAGAGAATTTAGAGAATTTAGAGAATTTAGAGAATTTAGAGAATTTAGAGAATTTAGAGAATGTAGAGAATTTAGAGAATTTAGAGAATTTACGACACGACACAGCGAATTCTGTTTAGCTAGAATTAAGAACAGCTCGCTCTATACCGTCACGATGCAGGATTAAAACGTAGTAAAAGTGATTTTACGACGTTTGCTGTAATGCCCAAGTTCTCAGTTTAGCAGGTTCTCCGATGCTAGATTACGGTCTAAATGCAGATGCAGAAATGTGTTACAATGTATACAAAAACTAGAAAACGATTCGGAGCAGATAAGTAGCTGAAAATGGCTGCTAAGTCATTGAGTGCATTCAGGCTTCGATGATGATACATTTCTAATAACAAACAATAGACGTTCGAAGAGACAGCTGTATATTGTATATTTCCGTTGTCTACTTTTTCTTTCAAATTCAATTTAGAGAATTTCGAGAAATTAGAGAATTTAGAGAATTTAGAGAATTTAGAGAATTTAGAGAATTTAGAGAATTTAGAGAATTTAGAGAATTTAGAGAATTTAGAGAATTTAGAGAATTTAGAGTATTTAGAGAACTTAGAGAATTTAGAGAATTTAGAGAATTTAGAGAATTTAGAGAATTTAGAGAATTTAGAGAATTTAGAGAATTTAGAGAATTTAGAGAATTTAGAGAATTTAGAGAATTTAGAGAATTTAGAGAATTTAGAGAATTTAGAGAATTTAGAGAATTAATTTAGCGAATTTACGACACGACACAGCGAATTCTGTTTAGCTAGAATTAAGAACAGCTCGCTCTATACCGTCACGATGCAGGATTAAAACGTAGTAAAAGTGATTTTACGACGTTTGCTGTAATGCCCAAGTTCTCAGTTTAGCAGGTTCTCCGATGCTAGATTACGGTCTAAATGCAGATGCAGAAATGTGTTACAATGTATACAAAAAACTAGAAAACGATTCGGAGCAGATAAGTAGCTGAAAATGGCTGCTAAGTCATTGAGTGCGTTCAGGCTTCGATGATGATACATTTCTAATAACAAACAATAGACGTTCGAAGAGACAGCTGTATATTGTATATTTCCGTTGTCTACTTTTTCTTTCAAATTCAATTTAGAGAATTTAGAGAAATTAGAGAATTTAGAGAATTTAGAGAATTTAGAGAATTTAGAGAATTTAGAGAATTTAGAGAATTTAGAGAATTTAGAGAATTTAGAGAATTTAGAGAATTTAGAGAATTTAGAATTTAGAGAATTTAGAGAATTTCGAAAATTTAGAGAATTTAGAGAATTTAGAGAATTTAGAGTATTTAGAGAACTTAGAGAATTTAGAGAATTTAGAGAATTTAGAGAATTTAGAGAATTTAGAGAATTTAGAGAATTTAGAGAATTTGGAGAATTTAGAGAATTTAGAGAATTTAGAGAATTTAGAGAATTTAGAGAATTTAGAGAATTTAGAGAATTTAGAGAATTTAGAGAATTTAGAGAATTTAGAGAATTTAGAGAATTTAGAGAATTTAGAGAATTTAGAGAATTTAGAGAATTTAGAGAATTTACGACACGATACAGCGAATTCTGTTTAGCTAGAAGTAAGAACAGCTCGCTCTATACCGTCACGATGCAGGATTAAAACGTAGTAAAAGTGATTTTACGACGTTTGCTGTAATGCCCAAGTTCTCAGTTTAGCAGGTTCTCCGATGCTAGATTACGGTCTAAATGCAGATGCAGAAATGTGTTACAATGTATACAAAAACTAGAAAACGATTCGGAGCAGATAAGTAGCTGAAAATGGCTGCTAAGTCATTGAGCGCATTCAGGCTTCGATGATGATACATTTCTAATAACAAACAATAGACGTTCGAAGAGACAGCTGTATATTGTATATTTCCGTTGTCTACTTTTTCTTTCAAATTCAATTTAGAGAATTTAGAGAATAGAATTAGAGAATTTAGAGAATTTAGAGAATTTAGAGAATTTAGAGAATTTAGAGAATTTAGAGAATTTAGAGAATTTAGAGAATTTAGAGAATTTAGAGAATTTAGAGAATTTAGAGAATTTAGAGAATTTAGAGAATTTAGAGAATTTAGAGAATTTAGAGAATTTAGAGAATTTAGAGAATTTAGAGAATTTAGAGAATTTAGAGAATTTAGAGAATTTAGAGAATTTAGAGAATTTAGAGAATTTAGAGAATTTAGAGAATTTAGAGAATTTAGAGAATTTAGAGAATTTAGAGAATTTAGAGAATTTAGAGAAGAGAATTTAGAGATTTAGAGAATTTAGAGAATTTAGAGAATTTAGAGAATTTAGAGATTTAGAGAATTTAGAGAATTTAGAGAATTTAGAGAATTTACGACACGATACAGCGAATTCTGTTTAGCTAGAAGTAAGAACAGCTCGCTCTATACCGTCACGATGCAGGATTAAAACGTAGTAAAAGTGATTTTACGACGTTTGCTGTAATGCCCAAGTTCTCAGTTTAGCAGGTTCTCCGATGCTAGATTACGGTCTAAATGCAGATGCAGAAATGTGTTACAATGTATACAAAAACTAGAAAACGATTCGGAGCAGATAAGTAGCTGAAAATGGCTGCTAAGTCATTGAGCGCATTCAGGCTTCGATGATGATACATTTCTAATAACAAACAATAGACGTTCGAAAAGACAGCTGTATATTGTATATTTCCGTTGGGTACTTTTTCTCTCAAATTAGTTTTCTGCTGTAAATATAATATAAGAAATATATCAAGTTTCAATGCAGTACAACTGACCACTGCATTGTACATATATAAGCGCAGGCTTTTGAATAACGCAATCTGATTCCTTTGAAACTAGTACCTTAAATGTAACTCTGCCTTTCTGATTCATGCGTTTTATTTAGACAATCCGCACGTGGACTCATAAGAATCCTGTTTGCTAGCAAAACCAAAAAGAAAAAATGGAAAATATAATCTTACTTACTTTTAAACCAATTCTTTGTTTATTTAAAACCCAATAAATAATTACTATACAGACTATAATACTGCCGCATATAAAGTTCATTTTTTGCCTTTTTGACGCCGCAGTAAATCACACCTTACTGCTTTTGATCTAGGATAATTAAAGACGGCAACAATTATGATCCAAAATCACTTTTGAATGACGTTCTATAAAGTCAAGCAACTTTTATTGTGTCGTAATAATACTATCTAAAAAAATCCAGAATTTCAAGCTCAACATTTTCTTTTAGCCTACTTCAAGGATACTGACCAAACAAAACATTGATTCAAATATCAGATTAAATTTTACTCCTTAACGCTATAAAACGCAAATACGATACAAACGTACAGCGTGATCACGGACAAGAGCAGATACTCTACAATGTAACAATAGTATGCAAAGATGAACAAACTGTAATCGCAGTACCTCCAAGAATCAAGGTAGAAATCGGGCTGGTACTCGGCAAAGGTAGTGACAGATCCGATAAGGAACATGCTTAAACACGCCACACCTAGCACCAACTGGAAGGCCATCTTGGACAGGATTTTTATGACGAACGTCACGACGAAACTGAGCTGAAATCGTTCGAAAATGTCTTAATCAAGTTCTTCACCCAAATGGTTGAGTTATCTTACCTGCAGGATTCCTGTGATACATAGAAATAAAGGAACGTAAGGATTCGTTGGACAATCCCCGATGTGCGTGAACCCGATAGTGAGCTTGACGATGGGTATGGCGATGTTTACCACCAGTAGAATGGCCCCTAGTCTTTTTGTTGCCTTCGGGTACGGATTCGGCTTCCTGTACACGTAGCGTGTCAATCTCTGGAAAGCTTCGTTTACTTCTACAGTTTCCTCCATGTCTGGGCTCCGAGTTTTGGGACTGGGTCACTGACACATGGTCAAAGGCAAATGTCATCTGTCTCAAGACGTCAGTACCCAGATAGCAGTATAAACTTGTTTCACACTTGCAACAAGTTAAAATCAAACTGTCTAGTTCCCATGCGACAACATTTTTAAATTTCACACCTGTCGGTGACTGCGATCCATTGCGCATGGCTGTTAGGCGTCGCCAATATACGCTTCCTAGGTGGGAGCCGTCAAACACGACGGTGTTGCCAGATTTCGTCATCACGCACCTTATTTTTGAAACAAGCCTCGTACAATATCAATAAATGACTCGACCGAACTTGCGTGGTGTTTATATTTACGGAAAAATTCCGGCCCTGTGCAAGCCCAACATTAATGAACAAACTACCCGAACGCCGATTCTCAGGCAGGCGCTGAAAGGGAAGCCGACGCGCCACGCCCAACAGCTCCCAAAAGTCGACGTGGCGGAAAATGACGCGAAATCTAAGAAAAATAACGGCCGAAGTGCCAATTGGCCGCGTCTAAACACTGTTATTGGTCGGCTAAGGATAATAAATACGCTTGGCCGTTTGCCAATGAATCGTTTCGGAGGCGATTAGAGCAAGCTGTGAAATACGATACGCCGACGTAGCTGAAAATTAGACGGTACTTATGGCACCTCGGGATAATAAATTTTAAATTTACCGCTTTGTTAGTGCAGCCGAAAAATTTGTATGTCGGCACCTTAATGGCTCAACTTCTTAGCACCTATCTGCGTTCACCAAAAGGTATTGTGAATCCCTTCTCCATGCTTTCAAAAGCTTTATCGACAAAGTATCATCATTTTTCCTCTTAATGTGTATGATGACTTTTCCGACTTTTTATATCAAGCAAAAACGGCAACAATAGCCCTTCTATGAACAAGAACAATATTTCATATATATATATATATATATATATATATATTTAGGGGATTTAGAGAATTTAGAGAATTTAGAGAATTTAGAGAATTTAGAGAATTTAGAGAATTTAGAGAATTTAGAGAATTTAGAGAATTTAGAGAATTTAGAGAATTTAGAGAATTTAGAGAATTTAGAGAATTTAGAGAATTTAGAGAATTTAGAGAATTTAGAGAATTTAGAGAATTTAGAGAATTTAGAGAATTTAGAGAATTTAGAGAATTTAGAGAATCTAGATAACTTAGAGATTTTAGCGAATTTAGATAATTTAGAGAATTTAGATAATTCAGAGAATTTATAGGATTTAGAGAATTTAGAGAATTCAGAGAATTTAGAGAATTTAGAGAATTTAGAGAATTTAGAGAATTTAGAGAATTTAGAGAATTTAGAGAATTTAGAGAATTTAGAGAATTTAGAGAATCTAGAGAATTTATAGAATTTAGAGAATTTAGATAATTTAGAGAATTTAGAGAATTAGAGAATTTAGAGAATTTAGAGAATTTAGAGAATCTAGATAATTTAGAGAATTTAGCGAATTTAGATAATTTAGAGAATTTAGATAATTCAGAGAATTTATAGTATTTAGAGAATTTAGAGAATTCAGAGAATTTAGAGAATTAGAGAATTAGAGAATTTAGAGAATTTAGAGAATCTAGAGAATTTATAGAATTTAGAGAATTTAGAGAATTTAGAGAATTTAGAGAATTTAGAGAATTTAGAGAGTTTAGAGAATTTAGAGAATTTAGAGAATTTAGAGAATTTAGAGAATTAGAGAATTTAGAGAATTTAGAGAATTTAGAGAATTTAGAGAATTTAGAGAATTTAGAGAATTTAGAGAATTAGAGAATTTAGAGAATTTAGAGAATTTAGAGAATTTAGAAATTTAGAGAATTTAGAGAATTTAGAGAATTTAGAGAATTTAGAGATTTTAGAGAATTTAGAGAATTTAGAGAATTTAGAGAATTTAGAGCATTTAGAGATTTAGAGAATTTAGAGAATTTAGAGAATTTAGAGAATTTAGAGAATTTAGAGAATTTAGGGAATTTAGAGAATTTAGAGAATTTAGAGAATTAGAGAATTTAGAGAATTAGAGAATTTAGAATTTAGAGCATTTAGAGAATTTAGAGAATTTAGAGAATTTAGAGAATTTAGAGAATTTAGAGAATTTAGAGAATTTAGAGAATTTAGAAATTTAGAGAATTTAGAGAATTTAGAGAATTTAGAGAATTTAGAGATTTAGAGAATTTAGAGACTTTAGAGAATTTAGAGATTTAGAGAATTTTGAGAATTTAGAGAATTTAGAGAATTTAGAGAATCTAGAGAATCTAGATAATTTAGATAATTTAGAGAATTTAGAGAATTTAGAGAATTTAGAGAATTTAGAGAATTTAGAGAATTTAGAGAATTTAGAGAATTTAGAGAATTTAGAGAATTTAGAGAGAATTTAGAGAATTTAGAGAATTTAGAGAATTTAGAGAATTTAGAGAATTTAGAGAATTTAGAGAATTTAGAGAATTTAGAATTTAGGAATTTAGAGAATTTAGAGATTTAGAGATTTCGCGAGCAATTTCGAGAATTTCGCGATTTAGAGCCTTAGAGATTTAGCGCTTTGAGATTTTAGAATTTGCGAATTTCGAGTTTAGAGACTTTAGAGAATTTAGAGGCATTTAGAGCATTTCGCGCATTTCGCGCTTTTGCCATTTGCGATTTTCAGCTTTCGCGATTTAGGCGAATTTCGCTAGCGCCTTTGCGCGCATTTCGAGAGCGATTTCGAGCATTTAGCGAATTTGAGAGCATTTAAGAAGCTTTAGCGCATTTCCGCTTTAGCGCATTTCGCGATTTAGCGCATTAGAGAGCTTTCGCGCTTTCGCGAATTTGCGCATTTGCGGCTTTATCGGATTTAAAGAATTTACTTACCACATTTCTGAACTGTTTCACAAAAACAACGCTCTACACAACCGAATGACTCGAACAAGTCCAAACTGTACTGAAGGCGGAGCACATGATCCCGTGTCTCACCTCCAGTGTTGCCAGATCGAATGCTACGTTGTTGATCTCATCACTTAATTTACAGACCTCGTGTACTAGAACCGTATGCTCAGGCATATTTTTTTACCAAAACCTTTTATTTTTATGTAAGTGGGGTGATCGATGACCTGACGTGTTACATGTACTCGGCAGTTTGAATGTAGAATGCTTCATTAGTCTGATATTAGAGATTCGACCACCCATTAATAATATTTCCGATAGCTAGGCGTACAAGGCCTATACCGTATATGATGCCAGTAATAACACGCAACCGCTATCGTAATTTCACATATTTCACAAGCTTCCAGTCTTTCAGAGCTACCATATTCGCTTTGCCGCCCATTTAAAGAACAATGAGGCTCCTTCCGAAATATCAGTAGGTAACCGGTAATTGATGTGGTGCGCTCTATACTCTCACGAAACGATATGCGCAACGTTTTAGAAGTACTTTTTGCAACGATCAAATTATAGCGAACGTACCACTACGCTCTGGATGACGTATCGTTTCCACTGCCGATATTTAATAGATCAGTTAATGTGGAGCCAAGTTTATATCGGAAGGCATGATAGCAGAAAACTATTTAATTTCACTTTTCCATTTACGACCGTTCGTCCAGAGACAAGAGACCAGGCCTAAACTATGCTGATGAGTAGCCAAGGATCACGAAATAGCTGTCCATGGTTGACTGTCTTACTTTACAGCCAGAATCGTCAGCCATCTGGCGGTCACGTGAACTGGGATCCCTGTCCTGGCGTGATAGAAGCCGCTTTGTCCTGTCTTAGTAGATTATTGCTGGAACCGAAATTAAGTTTCGACTTTCCCGAAACTTTTCGTTAGTCGACTGTACCATATCCGAAATTAATAATACCCTCTTTACGAGCTCTAAAAACTGCCAAGCCACGATATAATATCGAGCATTGTTCGTTTTTTGTATCTGCCGCTAATGCCATGCTTGTCCGCAATTGCGTTATTTTCCTGTTTCCGAATTGGGCATTTTGGATTTAGGCATGGAAGTGATGAGTGGTCATTTCGATAATCAAAACCCTCCTTGGTTTCAATTGTCTTCATTATATTCCAGCTGGTGAATGAGGATTCGTTGAGAAGCCGTAATGTAAGGATATGCTGCGAATCTGTCAAATCTACAATTCATATTTTATATTATGATACGTTTAGCGAAATTCCTCCGAATAATTATCATAAACTCGAGACCGTTCAACTCTAAATGGCAGCCTTTTATGTAGACATCGACATGAACGTAGGGAATCAAAGGAGTTTTGATTTTTAATATAATAATGCCTCAATTGTTTGTAACTGAAAGGTCTGCTATACAGGGCGTTTCAGTTTATTGTTGCATAACCTACACCTACCATACCTCCAGGATCGACAGCCTCTATGGGTCACAGCGCTGACTAAGATCTTTACAGTTGTCGATTCTGGTGACAGATGGCGCTTTCCTATTTCGATCTTTTATGGAACTGAGCGCAATATTTTACGCAGCCTCCGTAGAGGCTCGAAAATAAAAATATAACGCAATAAGTTTAGTAATACTTAACTACCTCCGGTCCTAATCACGTTGAAAATGATTCATCGGCACAAGCCGAACCTTCGTTATACGCAACATCCCAATAACAGTGTTTAAAAATCGGTCAATTGGCACTTCGGCAGTAATTTCCCTTAGATTCTTCATAATTTTCCGAGCGAGGCGTCGATTCGGAATTTTTGGGCGTGCCTTTTCGGCCTTTCAGCGGCTGCTTAGACACGAAACGAGGTCTAATTCGCGCCGTTCGAATCGTCCGGCAGTTGTGTGAAAAAAATCGACAATTACTTGCTCGTAAACGTAATCACTAATCACCCCCGAGTAGAGACAAGGTGGCGAGAGGGGGAATGTCAAATGAGAAACAGGTACGGATCCGACAGAAAATAATACCAAAAGTATTACAAAAATAAGGTGCTTAAATTAAAATTTCGAAATAAAAAAAAACGGATTTTTTTTATTTTCATGTGTACTTTCTACGATTTTTTGAACCACCCTGTATAGGGACATCAAATGGTTTCCGACCAACCCCTGTCTCAAAAAAGAGA